AATTTGATACTAATATCAATTTATTTATTTTTTAGTTTTTATGTTATCTTCAAATTTATATTTCATTAAAAAATAAATACATTATCGTTTTCTTAAAACATGTATATATATATATATATATATATATATAGGGGCCTAATCGAGAACTAATTAGTTTGTGGTAACCGTGATCTTCAATCTCAACCACAAATCAATATATAAATTAGGATATTTATAATTTTGAATTAAAATTTTAATGCAAGGACATTTTAGATATTTTAAAACTTTTCTCTCTTCGTCCTCTAGTGATACCACAGTGGTATCACAATGCATCTTATATGTGTTTGGGTATCACGCTAAGGTCGTTTGTGTTGTCGATGAGAGATGTAATACAGTGGTATCACAATGCATCTTATATGTGCTTGAATATCACACTGTGTCTTTTGTTTAACAAAGTCAATATTTTTAGGTATCACAGTGGTATCACAGTGGTATCACCGGAGGCCGGAGGGTGGTGGCCGGAGGATGGCGGACAGAGAGAGAAGAGAGGAGAGAAAATACCTAAAATGTCCTTGCATTAAAATTTTAATTCAAAATTACCAAAATTATGATTTTTTTAATTTATCTATTGATTTGTGGTTGAGATTGGATATCACGGTTACCACAAACTAGTCAGTTCTCATTTGAATGGACCCCCATATATATATATATATAGAGAGAGAGAGAGAAAGAGAGGAACGATCAAATGCAAATAAAATTTTAATGAAACGGTTTCATGTATTTCTCTAAAATTAAAATAATGAAGATAATAATATCTATGATTAACATCCTTCACAATAAAAATGATTAATCAACCTCTCATAATTAAAAAAAGTAAAAAAATAAAAAATTATGATTGATTGAATAAGGTTTATACGGTTTATATAAATAACGTAGTCTATATATATATATATATATATATATATATATATATATATATATATATACTTACGATGATATCAAAATAAATAAAAATAAGATATTAAAAAAGCAAAAAGTTCAAGAGAGAACGACAAAGAAAAAATATATATTTAAATATCCGTCACGGTCACTGTCTAACAGACATTCAGGCTTTGAGCGAGTTCATCTTCTCTTATCCCCCCATTCTTGTAGGCAAAGAGACGAAGAGGTTTTTAGTTATGGCGACTATGGGGAGCTTGATTGGTCTCGTCAATCGTATACAGAGAGCTTGTACTGCTCTTGGTGACTACGGTGGTGGTGATTCTGCGTTGGCTTCTCTCTGGGATGCCCTTCCTTCCGTCGTTGTTGTCGGAGGCCAGGTTTCTCTTTTCTTCTTCACATTTATAATCCAACATTCTACTTTGAATTTTCTGTTTCTTCAATTTCAGATGCTATTAATGTTCAATTTGCTCCATCCTTGTACGTTTTTCACGACTGATGATATATATTAGCTTCGTAATAGGAAAGAAAGGTAGTACAAAATTCAAGGGTTTGTCATGTATCTTTGATTGAAGCCGCCACTTTCGTCGAAATTGAAGAGAACGCTCATATAATATGTTTTTTTCCCGCCCCCTATGAACTAAGAAATGGTAGGCAAAGGCTTGAATTTTCCCGTTTATTTAGCCAGTTTTGCTAGAGTTTGTATTGAATCTCATTTAGTTCAAATATGTTAATTAAGGTTTTTGAAGGGTTTAAGAGGAATGTTAACACTAATAAGTTGGTCAGAGATAGAGACGAGGTCCCAATGTGGTAGGGAACATTCTTGAAGGAGCTATAACCGTTAAACATTTGGATTCTTGAATTTTGGGTTTTGCAGAATTGGTTGGGAGGAGGGGATTTGTTTCTTTTTTTTGTTCTTGCAGTTTTTTCTGTATGAATTCGTTTGATCTCTGAAGGGGTCATATCTGGTTGCTGCTGCAATTGATTATTTCTCTTTCTGATGTTTGCTTATGGAGGTTTAAATGTTTCATCTAGTTCTTTTTGCTTTTTTTCCTGTTACTGCAATTGTGCTGATAAAGAGTTCTGGAAAGTCCTCGGTGTTGGAGAGCGTTGTTGGGAGAGATTTTCTTCCCAGAGGATCTGGTTAGTTGCTTGATTGATTGTACTTAAATTTCGTTCTTTTTCTTATTACTATTCAGGTGTTCTTTTGATATACTGAATTAGCCCTACACTGTCTATATCAGGGATTGTCACAAGGCGACCTTTGGTGTTGCAGTTGCATAAGATAGAGGACAAAGAAGAATATGCCGAATTTGGACATATTCCACGGAGGCGATTTACTGATTTCTGTATGTGAAGGGATGCTACTTGAATTTCTTTATATAAATAGTTATGCAAATTTCTAACTTTTGTAGAGATTAGTCTACTAAGAAATATAGTATTTCTTTTGCTGCTGTATCGTTTGCCTAGTAGTCTTTCATCCTTTCCTATAAACAAACATATTGGAACTCTTGATATTTCTATTATCCTTCTTTAGGTATGGCCTTTTGTCTTCATAAATATTGGAAGATGTGTTGATTTAATGTATTTGCAGGCTCAGCAATCCCATCTGCTTTTTCAACACCATGATCAGCAGTCAGCATCATCAATGATACTGTGTTATCTGCTTTCCTGCAAATGCTCTAATTGATTCGAAAAGCAATAGAGAACTTCTAATGGTTTTGCCACACAAACATAGTCGACCCGTTATTTGTGGGTACAAACTCTTTGAGTAGTGTTAAATATAGATAAAAATTTGTTTTGTTTTGAGGGGAGTCATATGGTAATAAGAACACAATCAAACGTGTGAAAAACTTGATTTTGTTGGTAAGCCCTTATGCAACCAGTGTTCCAAAAATCTGTATAGGGCCTTTAGGTAGCCGCCTAGGTGTTAAGCGTTCTCCCACCACTTCAATTAGTTAGAGCTGCTTATGATGTGTGCCCTATCACTTCGATTATCAAACAATTCTTCAACTTTTAGAATATTAAGCGAGGATGGTTGACGATCTCAACTTATGTTCATCAATTGGATTTTTTAAATTCAGAGGGAATCTTTCAGTTCCTTGAAACTAATTATTTAGAAAAGTAATTGTGTAAAAAATCTAAACAACAATGTCTTTTAATTCTCGTTTCTGTACAGAATGTAATTATTATTATATTTTTACATGCTCAAGTGGACCAGTTAAGCATCTGATAATCACCACATAAGCTCCAAAAGGCCACTCACTAGAATTCACTGTGTGATACTCCACACATCTAGCTGAGCTTGTGAATGAACATGTTATCAGAGTTCTTGTAAGTTGCATCCGATCTGAATTTGGTTCCCCTGTTTTTAGTGTGATTTGTATTGTCTTCAATTCAGCTCATCCTCTTTACTCAGTTTATTGATGGTAGGAAAAAATGCCACATCCTTTCCCTTCTCTTTCAAAATTTTGGGTTACATGTCAAGTAAATAGTTCTATCGCCAAGATGCAACACAGCCAATACTCATTGTCAGTTTAAATATTCGAGGTTCGAGTTCGGTGCTATTTTCATGGATATATTTTAACATGATCTCTTAGGGTTTGCGTTTGGTAAGTGAGAGGGAATGACAAAAACTTGTTCCATGTTGGCGCGGCATTGGAAAATGATAGGACAGGACTTAGTGGGACAAAAAATGCAATTTTTTTCCCACCAAAATAGGTGGAACAAGACTTGGGAGATGGAACAAGATTTGGTAAATTACTAAATTACCCATGTCCAATTGAAGCCCTAAAACCTTCCACAATTCTTTTTGACCTGCCTACCTCACTCTCGCTTGTCCAGTCCTGTCCCTTCAACTCCAGTCCAGAAACACACCCTCATAGAAAAATGTTCAACTGTAGGAGGCTAAATTGCAGACATGTACCTCTGAACTCGTCGTATTCCAGATCTTTAAGTTCAAGCTTCCACTAATTTTTTCACTTGTAACTTCAAAATATGCCACCTTTGTAGTTCATGCTGTTAGTTTAGTGATGTAAAGTGTTTTTTTATTTATCCATCCTGCATGAATTTTGGTTCATGAATGTGGGAAGCCAGTATTTACTTCACATTTCTCCCACAGCTTTGGTACGGCAGGAGATTCAAGATGAAACAGACAGAATCACTGGAAAGTCAAAACAAATATCTCCAATTCCAATTCATCTCAGCATATACTCCCCTAATGGTGGGTTTCTTCTTGATTTATATATGCAGACTTGCTGTAGTGAGTTTATATGATACTAATACCTTATCATGCTTCCATTGTTCTATCAGTCGTCAACTTAACCTTAATCGATTTACCAGGATTGACAAAAGTTGCTGTTGGTATTTTTCTATACCTTCTGTGATTGCCATTGCATTCTCTGATATGATCTGAGCTTCATCTAATTCATAGAGTCAATTTATTTGCAGAGGGACAGCCTGAAAGTATAGTAGAAGATATAGAAAAGATGGTTCGGGCTTATGTTGATAAGGTAATTTCATTCTACTAGTAGGTGACTCCTAACACCAGGCTCTTCCCAAATTAGTCATGTGGGAGCCTTATGACTGGACCACTCTTCCCATAATACATTCTGGAACAAAGAACACCTTGATTAGTGCTCCGATGTTAAAATAAACATGTGTTTGAGGATGAAATGTTTACTATATGTACCCCTTCAATTTTGCTTTTCATTTTTGCATGGCATCTTTTTAATTCTGGCATATGATGACCATCTCATGTTTCAGCCCAACTCTATCATACTAGCAATATCTCCTGCCAATCAAGATATTGCAACATCTGATGCCATTAAACTTGCTAAGGAGGTGGATCCATCAGGCATGCTCACCTCATTGTTGTTGAAATGTTTGTCTTTCTCGATTTTCTCCAACATCCTTGTTTTTTGTGTGAATTTTTTCAACTGACCAGGTGAAAGGACATTTGGTGTGCTGACGAAACTTGATCTGATGGACAAAGGAACTAATGCATTAGATGTGAGATCCTTAGGTTTCATCTTTTTCTTAAATTGCAGACAGATTTTAGTCTTATACCTCTGCTTATCATTCTTTTTCTGAATCAGTTGTTTCATATGCTCAATACTGATGTCAATGTCGTCTTTTCTAAAGGTCCTTGAAGGCAGAGCTTATCGTCTACAACATCCTTGGGTGGGGATTGTGAATAGATCCCAAGCTGATATTATGAAAAACACTGATATGATTTATGCAAGGCGACGAGAGCAGGAGTATTTTGCTACAAGTTCTGACTATGGACACCTGGCTAGTAAAATGGGTTCAGAATATTTGGCAAAACTTCTCTCGAGGGTATGCTCTGTTGTTTGTGTACATTATTTTTTTGTATTTGTCAACCTGAGTTTTACAAGTGTAATACTTGGCTACCCGGAGTAGGAAGTGTTGCTATAAGTTTTTCAATGGTGCACTTCTGTTTAAAATACCACACAGCAACTCAGCAATAAGAGAGGGTGCTTTGATTTTCTCTCGTCTTTTTTGACAACAATGATTTTAGTATCACAAAAGTTCACTGTGTTTGCGTGCTTCATTGTGCAGCATCTGGAATCTGTAATCAAAGCAAAAATACCAGGTATTATTTCCTTGATAAACAAAGGAATTGATGAGATGGAAGCAGAGTTGGACCGTCTTGGGAGGCCAATTGCAGTTGATGCAGGGGTGAGAAGCTTCTGTCTACATATTCTTCTATGAAGTGCAACTTAACTGTGTCCATTACACTTAAATGCTCTTTTACAGGCTAAATTGTACACTATTTTGGAACTATGCCGTGCTTTTGACAAAATATTCAAGGAACATCTAGATGGAGGGTAAGCAATGCTGCCTCCCTCGTCTTATCTTGAAATTGCCAGCTGGGACATTCATTAGGATAATGTACTAGCAAAAAATCCATACACAAATGCATCATTTTGTCATTTGTATTGGGTTGAATCATGCTTAGATTATGTAATATGCATTTGATTGAATTTAGGTTTGTTTTCTTGTGTCAGACGACCTGGAGGTGACCGAATTTACGGAGTATTTGACAACCAGCTTCCTGCTGCTTTGAGAAAACTTCCGTTTGATAAGCATCTTTCTCTACCAAATGTGAGGAAAATTGTTTCTGAGGCAGATGGTTACCAGCCTCACTTGATTGCTCCGGAACAAGGCTATCGACGCCTTATAGATGGGTCATTGAGTTATTTTAGGGGACCAGCTGAAGCTTCTGTAGATGCAGTAAGTAGCTTGTGCTCCCAATTTCTAATTGGCTATAGTTCCAATTATGAGCTGACTTACAAGCTTTGTATAGTGTTAATTGTGCAACTTACCCAAAAATCATTCTTCAGGTGCATTTCGTCCTAAAGGAACTTGTCAGGAAGTCGATAGGAGAAACTGAGGTCAGACATGAAAAACCATGCATGTTTATGATATAGCACTTGAATTCTTGTATCTACTCATTACCTTCTATTATTTTCCCTATTCCATGTTCATCATGTGCTTAGTCTTTGTTCCTTCTACCTGTTTGCTCACACTCTTGCACAAGCCAAGGTTGTCGTGAAAATAGCCGCTCTACTCTTTGGGGTAGATGTCAGATCTATGTACATCTCAACCCCCAAACCCTATTTAGGCTTAGGCCAGCGAGTGCCCGTCCGCCCACTCTATCGTCCCCTCGCAATGGAAAAATTGTTACGGGTCTTAAAGGTGAAACCACTTTGATTTTGATGTATGCTCCTCTAGGCTAATAAAAGGTGACTGCAACCTACTAGTAGTGTCATTTGCATGTGGCATTACAGGTTGCAAGTTTGAACCCCTTCTGCTCTTTTTAATTTTTTGGTAACAACATAAAAGAAGAAAAAAAAGGAAAAAACTACATGCATATTATTTTTACTTATACCATACTCTTTATAATTGATTTTGTTTTATTATTTTGTTAATTATTTTGTGGCCCCGCTCGGAAAATTTTCTGGATTTGCCTCTGTCAACCCAAGACCCCTCAGACCCTACTTTCAAGTGGGATATACCAGGTTGTGTGGTTTAGTATACTTGAATTCTTGTTAAATTTGTGAAGAGATTGAAACAGGAGTTAAGGCGGTTTCCGGCGCTTCAAACTACTCTTGCTGCTGCTGCTGGTGAAGCATTGGAAAAATTCCGTGAGCAAAGTAAGAAGACGGTCGTTAGATTGGTGGACATGGAGTCTTCTTACCTAACGGTGGATTTCTTTAGGAGACTTCCCCAGGAAGTGGAGAAAGGTGGGTTAGCTCCCTCACCTGCAGATCGCAGAGCTGCATCTGCTGATCGCAAAAACCCGTCTTCAGACCATGGAATCCCTACTCCAGAACGTGGAAACCCAAGTGACCCATTAGGGGATCGTTATGCAGATGCACACTTTAGGAGGATTGGCTCAAACGTATCATCTTATATAAGCATGGTGTCAGATACACTCAGGATCACAATTCCGAAGGCAGTTGTTTATTGTCAAGTGAAAGAGGCCAGACAGAATCTACTCCATTACTTCTACACACAAATCGGAAGAAAGGAGGTAACCCGTGTATTATCAATTTTGTTTATACTCAATGTGAAACTTATTTGTGATTTATTTCTTTTCTCATACACTCGGTTCGTCCATTTTAGAATTCGTAGCTGTTTTGAGGCATCTAAATGGGGGCAAGTCTAGATAGTTTCGGGTCTAGTTTACTAAACGTCAGAACAATGAGATCGTTGATACTGTTTCGTTTTTGGAATTCATAAAAAGAAATCAGGTTAGAATAGTACGAAAACTTGTCCCATGTTTTGGTGCGACCATAGACAATCACAAGACAGGAATTGAGTAGGACAAAAAATGTATTTTCTTTGTGCCCTGCCAAAATAGAGGGAACAAAAGTTAGAGAGACGAGACAAGATTGGTATATTACTAAACTAGCCATGTCAAATTAAAACCTTAAAACCTTACATAATTCTTTCACCCGTCTACCTCAGTGTCGCTCGTTCAGTCCTGTCCACGTACCAAACGCACCTTTATAACACCATTTGAGATGAATGCCTGGTGTTGCCCTTTTACAGGATTTGACAAGTAAAACCTAAATATTTTCAGGGCGAACAGCTCGGGGAGTTGCTAGATGAAGATCCGTCTTTAATGTCAAAGAGACAAGAACTTGCCAAAAGACTAGAGTTATACAAGGCGGCAAGAGATGAGATCGACTCTGTAGCATGGGTGCGGTAACAGTGATATCTTCTTTGCCAAACAGCTGGGGATTCTGCAAGTTCTGTTAGTCTGTCTTCTTTTCACATCACTCTTCAGATCTCGATCTGGTTTCTTGTATGCTCCGTTTATGTTGTGTTTGTTATCGAGAATAGGAAAATATGTGCTGTACATTTGTAAAAACTACCGCGTTCTCGATATATATAAATATGCGTGTATCATCTTTTCTTGCCCTTTGTTGTATTGATTAGGGTAACTGTCAAGTCTGCTTACATCATACCCCTTTTCCCACTTACCCACTTACGGTTGGTTGGGTTTGGTAGGATGCCAAGGTAGGGACCATCCAACCATCCCCATTTCCATTCCTGGGTTTTTCGTACTTTTTAAAATAACCGTGGTGTCCAGACTTAGCTTGCGTGCATCTTGACTAATCCTATGGGGCGAGAGTTAATAGCCAAACAAACCCTTTAGTGGCCCTGAGAGGACTTGAACCAGTAACCGACGCTTTCACTTCATTTATTAGGTAGGATTTTAGTTTATTAAAATGATATCATATACAACAATTTATCCGATAAACATTTATTGAGAGAGAGTTGTTGCACTCGCTTACCGGGTAAGACCCTCGATCGTCAATCATTGTCATGCTCATCTAATAAAGTATAGTGACAACGACACCTGATTTTAAACTAATATACCACATCATTTTTAGAACTCCAATATAAATATAAAATATTATTATTAAAAGCATATAAAAAGGACATAACAAATCCTTAATTCATTCTCCTTCTCCGACGTACCCTTCTTCTTCGGCGACGCCAAACGTCATCTCCAACGACCCCCTTCACCCCTTTCCATCCCTCCTAGTCTCTGGTTTGACCGAATCATAAGTCCAGAAGTATGAAAGTCCATCAAAACCTTCTATTAGCGACATGTCTATTAGGTTGTGGACGAACCTCAATAATTGAAGCCTAGTAATCAAACAGAATCTGTATCTGCTAAAACACAGAACCCAACTTCCAACACGAAATATAATCCCTCCATACCTGTGTTCTCTGAAGGGATTTGACATTGGAGAATTGTATAAATCAACATCAAATCTCCATATGAACTTCGGATATCCAGCCAATTCCCAAAATATATATGCCTAAACATATTCATCCTTTCAGTATATTTGCTTAATTTATCCCTTATTTTTTTTTTTTTGAAGAAGTTTAATTTGTCCCTCAACATAAAAAAAACTTCGAAAAATCCTACATTTATATACAAACATAGAGTTAAATACAAATTTGGTTCATGTGGTTTACATAAATTAACGAGTAAAGTCCATGAAAGAAATTATTAACAAGGGACATCTTTATTGTTTCATTTTTGTAACGGATATGGTCATTCCTCTAATTCATTCAGTTAAGTTTCCGTTAGTGAGATGACATTTTTGTGTATTTCACCTTCCTTTTTTCTTAACTTCAATTTTCAATAACAAATTTGGTCTCACATACTACTTTTACTTTTATAACATATTTGGTCCATCAAACTAATTTACATTAGTATAACAAATTTGGTCTTTCAAACAATTTTTTAGTTTTATAACAGATTTAGTCTTTCTCTCAATTTTTATTTTTAGAATTTGGTCTCTCCATTTAATCAATAAAATTTGGTGGCACAAACATATATTTCTTAAATATAATTAGAAAAATAATTAAATAAAAATTTGAAGCTTTGATTTTATCATTAAATATTTTATCTTTTTATCATTTTTATGAAATCCTTTGGCTCAAATAAGATATAAATTTGATATTTTTTTAGTTGAAAATTTAAAAAGTTTTAAAACTAAATATCCAACAATTTTTAATGTATATAATAGTTAAATTTATATTTTTATATTTTATTATTTAATATATTATCGGGTGTTTAGTTTTAGAACCTTTTTTTTAAAATTTTATTATTTAATATATTATCGGGTATTTAGTTTTAGAATCTTTATTATCTCAAAATGACAAATGGAGGTGGCGGACAATGGTGGTAGGTGGTAGACAGTAGACGACGGAATATGGTCGGGCACAAGGTGGATGGCAGTGGCCGGAGCTTTCTTCCGATCAGTGACGGTAAACATTTGATATAAATTTTTAGTTGGTAGTAGTTAAAATGAGATTTGAAGCCTGATTTTCAAAAAATTAAAACAGATCCACCAATGACAAAAATTTGTATTAGTGAAAATGTGTCTTAATTCTATTGGTTGGCGAACTAGGTTGGTGAGAGTCGTTTTCAGAGTGGGTCCACGGCAAACACATGTTAATTTCTAGTTGGCCGGAGAAAAAGGTGTTCAGATGAATTTTCAGATATGGGTTCCACACTAAATTAGCTGGTATTATTAGAGGAACACTTAAATGAAAACTAGTTATATACCCGTGCAATGTGGCGGGAGTTGTGAATTTTAACGATTTTAAAGTTCCACTGGTTTCATTAGAGAAGATTTAACAATGATATAAGTTACACTTGGTTCCAATTACAGTCTATCACTGAAAAAAATTGTATGACAATTTAAAATCCAATATATTTAAAATCCCATATAATTAAATGACTCCACAAATGTATTCGATTTACACCAAGAGCAAATAATCAAGAGATCGAGAGCGAGACCAAGAGTTCTAGAGCAACTGAATGAAAGATAAAATGAAAGAATTTTTAATAACTCATGGTGATATCAATTTAAATTTCACATTGGGGGATGTGAAGAAGACATAGAGGTATGAGAGAGTGAAAGCATGAGTGAAATGTGTCAAAAGTATATTGGTAACATGAAAAAGTAATAATGTGCATTGATAACTTGTACTATATGTTACTTTAATTGTAGATTAAGAGATTTTAAAACTGAATGCATAAAGTAGTAGTACTTAATGAGTTGTTTTTAAGACTTTGTGTATAAATGTATAGTACTTTGTACATTAAAAATTGTTTTGTGTAAATAGTTTAACAATTGCTTATTTTCTTAGGGTTGGGTTCACATGAGACCAAAGTTTTTTCGTGAGACCCGTAAGACCAATTTATGTTCATTGATGAACTTTATAAGCTAATGATATAATGGTTTAAAGTTGTACGGTGACAATTTTGTGATTATTGAGAAGTCTCGTGACAATTTTGTGATTATGAATGTTCAAATTGTAGATCTAATCCAAGGGTTGAGAATTGGTCTTGCGAGTCTCACGAAAAACCCTTGGTCTCACACGATCCCAAGTCTATATATATATATATATATATATATATATATATAGGGTTGGGTTCACGTGAGACCAATAGTTTTTCGTGAGATCCAAAAGACCAATTTATGTTCATTGATCAACTTTACAAGTCAATGATCTAAAGTTGTACGATGACAATTTTGTGATTACTGAGAAGTTTCGTGATAATTTTATGATTATGAATGTTCAGATTGTAGATATAATCCAGTGATTGAGAATTGGCCTTACGAGTCTCACATGATCCCAAGTCTATTTTCTTAAATACACATTATATTTGCTATTTTTCCTTTTTTTGTTTGCTACTTCAAGAAAAATAAAAAATAAAAGCAAAAATACAAAAATTCTTGTTTGGTCATTTTATAAAATCTGAATTTTTATATTTCAATAAATATTTATGTGACAAAGATCTGAAATTTCGGACTGTGAGCGGTTTCAAGAAAAACGCGCTCCAAGGAACCCTATAAAACCCCGAAAATTCAGCAGTTCACAATTTCCTCAGATCTTTTCGTTGAATTTCTTCAATTTAACTCGTTTTTTCTGCAAGTCTGGTAAGATTCATCTACGGCTAATGTTGCTGATCTGCTGAAATTTGATTTATTCTTTCTGTTTCATTCCGAATCTTTGCTTCTTCGTTTGAATGATTCTTGATTCCAAGTGTTAGATCTTGGCGAATCTTTGAATCATGCTTTTCACTTCCCATTTGTGGGTGGGATCTGTTGATCTTGATGAAGTAGGCCAATTGGATGTGTACGTCCTTCTATATCTGTAGTATTGACTGGTTTTAGCTATGGTCATCATTATATGTAATTTTTCGGATCTGATGGAATTTTTTTTACTACAAATTGGTAAATGTCCATGATTTGGGTATATATTGATGTATTTCTTGCATAACTATGGGGAAACTTGTTCTTGGATCTGGCAAGACACATTGTTACACATCTCGTTTGTACATTATGGGATCTTGTTCAAATTTTCATTTGGCCAGTGTTCTAATTTGGAGGGTTTTTTTATTTTATTTTATATTTATAGATCTGTCTATAATTTGTGAGAAAGATGGTAAGCTATCCCTGTACAAATTCCTACAAGCAATCACTCAATATGCATCTTGAAAGCACAATCTTTCATGTACACCCATTTTATTTATGATTTGCATGTCTACCATTGTAAAGCCATAGAATGCATTTCTTTCATATTGTAGAACTATATGAAGCAGGATGAGTGTCTATGACTAGAAATTCGTGTATTCTTTGAGTTTTGGTGTAGATATGTAGATCTATATGTTTAATCCAAGATTAGTTATTCATGTTGTAAGACACATTTTTCACACCATACACATTTTCATATCAAATTTGAGTTTCTACCCTTGAAATTTGTAGTGTGATTTACTCCCCTTTACGATTGAACCATGAAATTTCTCTTTTCTTTGAATTTTTATGTGGATCTATTAAATATATGCTGAGTTGAGAATAATTGTTTTTGTGTTCTTAGGTCATTTTTGTGTCTGTATTTGGGATTTATCTCTTTGAGTGAGACTCACAGTAGGAAATTTTTTACATTGAAGTTTATAAAATACTTTATCTGCTGTAAGGCTAGGCACATCAATTATTTTAAAATTTGATCTTCACTTTTTCTCTATTTTCTCCAACTACTGAAAAGTCATTTGCACCCATGACGTGGCTTTATCATGTGAACCATGGAAAGAAGTTTTTTTGCCTGTGCATCTTTTGCTTGTTATCCAAAACAGAATAAAGAAAACGTTATACACAATAATATAATTTAAGAATGTTTCAAAAGCCTTTTTAGTTGTACCTAGCTTGGTTATAGAAGATCTTTAATCCAGATAGGTCATATTGTGACATGAATTCTATATATGTAACTTCGATTAATCTTCACATGTAGAAATTGTTCTAATTGGACCCTAACATGTTTTCCAAAGAATGCTTCCTGACCTAGAAGAGAGAGCTAGAGGCTTGATAATTGGCATAGAATTCTCAAACATGCCCAAAGTTATACTTATTGAATTGGGTTGCCAACTGATTAAAAAGGCACCAGTATGATAGAAAATTGGCAACAATTTATTATACTTCGATGAAATTGTAATTACTCGTTTGTGGTTGAACCAAAAAGCCATGGGTTTGAATCTGTATGCAAGGGAAAGAAAGACCGCATACAAAGACTTTCCTCTCTAGCCCACACAAAATTGAGGAACCATGTTATGCTTGTGGTTGCCATATTTATAATCCCTTTTAGCTATATGTTTTCTACAGTTTTCACTTCATATGCACTGTTTAGCTGTTTACATTTTGATCTTCATTGTTGTTTTATGGCTAATTTTATGATTGCCAAAAGTACATATCCACATTCCCCCTTCCCCTTGTTGTTAGGGGATATAGATTATGTATACTTACGACTATGAATTTTTGATCCCTAGTCTGACCAATCAAACATATTTTAAGCTTTTCAGTTTGCAAGTTTTAATTTTAATATTTTGGGTTGGATGCAGAGTCAAGTTAAAACACGCTAGTGTAGACTCATGGGGACTGTTGTTGAGGCTGCAAACAAGGTAGCTATTTCGTCTGCTTTTTGAAATATAGTACGTATGTAGTTTTCTTTTTGAGTGATTAGCATCTCAAATATTGATATGTGGCACTTCGTTAAAAATTGTAAAATACAAAGGAGAGCACTTTACTTGGCAGAAAATATCGAATGCAACAGTCTTTTGCCACCTCAAGTGTTTTTTTTTTGCTATCTTATAGCTAGCCATAGGGTTTTTGTTGTTATTGCCAACTCAGATGTTATCTCTCTCTCTCTCTCTCTCTCTCTGTTTTTGGGTGTGTTTTTTACATGCATGTTGGTTGTTTAGAAATGAAATGCCAAGTATAATGATACAAAATGCTAATCACTCTTTTATATTTTGAGGAAGTTTCCATACCAAGAAGATGTGCATTTTCACACTCAAAATTGGCCCTAAACTATGGCAACGAGTGCATGAGGCCTTTCTATGTGATCCACCTATTCAAGTATTTATTCAATGATTTTATAAATCAAGATTCATGGAAGAGTGGAACTCCTTAGTTGTATCTTTCTTTAATACAACATCATTTTTCATGGTATTGTTCAGTATTAGAAATTTTATTATCAACAATAATATGCCTAGTTGATTGCAGGAAGGAACCAAAAGTGCTCTTAGTGAAAAGAAGCCCAAGGTCGTGTTTGTCCTAGGTGAGGACTTTGATTCAACTTTTATGGATCTGAATAGTAATGCTCAGAAAAAATTATCTAAATAATGAAATAGTACTCTCATTATGTCCCATAAAAATTGCAACATTTGATTAGCCAAAGTTAATGGGAAGTGTTTGATAATCAACCATGTGTCTTAAATATCTTTTAGTAACTTAAGGAATTTAAAAGAATATGCTTCTCTTACTTTTCTTACATTGAGCAGGAGGCCCAGGCAGTGGTAAGGGTACACAGTGTGCAAATATTGTAGAGCACTTTGGGTATACCCATCTCAGTGCTGGAGATCTTCTCCGTGCAGAAATAAAATCTGGCTCCGAAAATGGGTACATTCTCTACTGAAAACTCTTAACAATGTTCAATGAGAGCCATTGTTTGGTTGATGTTGCGTTAACTTTAGACGCCAATTTCCTCTTTTGGCAAGGATGGGGGTGGGGGTAACTGTCAAATGGAACATTTCACCGTGCATATGATCAATGGGAGTGTGTGATTATTATTCAAACATAAAAAATACTACTAAAAATAATGAAAATGGAAGAATCTTGTTAATCTACATCATTGCCATGTATATTTTGTATGTAACTGTTAACTGTGGGCAAAGAGATAATTTAGATCGAACTCAGCCTTAAATGAAGATGTTGTGTTTATTTTTGATATCCCAAAAAAGAAATTGTTGCATTTATTTTGGAAAGGACTAAGGAGTTATAGTACTTGATGCTACCGTAGGGTCAATCCTATAAGATCTTGAGGGGAAACTTGCTTCTGTAATGTTGCCTGACCCTTCATGATTTGTAGGATCTCTAGTTTCCTATGTCAAAACCGGATGTTTGTCCTTACTGAAATTAGTTTTGTTATATTTCTGTTCTAAATATTGGTTCGAAACAATTGTTTTACCGAGATTTATTTTGTGCAATTTTCTTTGTGAATATCTGAATTCTAAGCTCCTTGTGATACCTTATAGGACCATGATTCAGAACATGATTTCTGAAGGAAAGATTGTTCCTTCAGAAGTAACAATCAAGCTTCTTGAAAAAGCAATTGTGGAAAATGAAAATGACAAATTCCTAATTGACGGGTTTCCTCGTAACGAGGAGAATCGTGCAGCCTTTGAGTCAGTTGTGAGTTATATATACCAAAATTTCATAAAACTTCTTTCATCGAGTTGGTAGAGACAGATCTAATCGTGCAGCATTGATATATTGATCTTATATAGACTGGAATTACACCCGAGTTTGTTCTTTTCTTTGATTGTTCCGAGGAAGAGATGGAGAGGCGCCTCTTGAGCCGCAACCAGGTTAGGAATATGACTTGTTGAACTGTACTAATATTGTTAGGTTAATTACATTGAGGGTGTATTCGGTACATTGGACATGACATAACAGAATAGAACAGGGATCACATGTTTGGCACAAATTTTATGTGGAATAGACAGGAACACTGTGGAACAGGTCTGTTCCACCCCCACCCCATGGAACAAGTTAGAACAAGGTGGAACAGACTTATGTTTTACCAATATAACCTCAAAATAAAACTTAATTCATTTCTTAAGCATCAAATTCGTCTTCCTCTTTACATTTTATTCATTCTTTAAATTTTATTTATTGTATTTTATGTTCTTTAGACTCACTTTACTGTCCGCAAAATATTATTTTTATACAGTTTCTATATTTTGATTAACTTATGTAATTTACTAAATATTAGTAATAACAAACGATATAGAAAAGGTATAAAATGAAAAATGGAAACTACATAAACTTTTTATTTTTCCATTTTTTATTTTGGTGTCATTTTATTTGTCTTGGCGAAAATTTTCTAATGATATATTTTGTTATAAAAATATTTATTTTATTATATTTTAATAAATTACATAGTTAATCAAAATATATAAGCAATTCATTAGGGGTAAATTGGTCATTTTGTATCTTCTATCCTGTCTAGTTTTGTCTTACCAAATGCTGAACAACTGTTCTGTCCTGTCCTGTCCTATCCCATCTTGTTCTATCCTGTCTTTATACCAAGCACACCCTTATGGAACCAAACTGCATGATTTGGACAATATATTTCTCCCATCTTATGTGTATATATGCATTGCTATGTATGTAAATAATTATTAAAATTAAAGTTGCTATTTGCACAATGAAGGGGAGAGTAGATGATAACATTGACACAATAAGGAAGCGATTTAAGGTTTTTGTCGAATCAAGTCTCTCTGTTATCGACTATTATAATTCCAAGGGGAAGGTCAGGAAGGTAAATGCATAGCACATTACTATTTGTAATTTTTGAAAATGGCGTTTGTGTTGTTATATCCTACTGATCAAGTTCCTCCTAGATTGATGCTGCTAAGCCTGTTGGAGAAGTGTTTGAAGCAGTTAAGGCTGTTTTCGCCCCTGCCCATGACAAGGTAAAGTACTGCACTCATGCTTCATGATATCACGTGAACTTTATTTGGTATTGTCGTAATTTGGATCCAAAGCCCGTATTTATGAATAAGAAAATAAAATATATAGGTAGAAATTAGTGTCCTTGGATCCCAAAAAAAAAAACTTGAGAATGTGGGCTGGTCTTGGGCAGCATCTCTTTTGGCTGTAATACATTCGAGCTTTATTGTGTGTTTTGTAGGTTGCTGCCTAGGCGCTTACAAGCTTCGGCTGGTTTAAAATTGAGGTAAACACCATTACGATCTGTGTGTCTTTGTGAATGCATGTCTTTTAGAGTACAAGTAAAATACCAAAGGGAGTTATTCATATTCAAGCAAGTTTCAATAATACTATTGTGACCATTACAGATGTACGGGGGCGAAGGGTTTCTTGGTCCTTTGTTTTATTTAATGTTTGTTCAATGACTCTTTAATGGTTCACCCTAACATTTCCCACTTGTCCGACTGTTGTTGGAGTTGACACATGATTTTGTTGGTACCATCCAACCTAGTACATCTGAGAATTCTCTTAATTGGATAGTTGTAGACATTCATAAACAGCTCTACCGTTGTCTTTAGCGGATAGCGCTAGTTTAGATTAAATAGTACATCCCAACAGGGGATGAAGGGGGTCAAACTTCTTGTTCTCGAATGAAAAAAAATGAATATTCAATTCAGGTTCTTCATTATATCTTGATGTTACCGGACATAATTGCTGATTGTGTGTATGGATTTGCAGTTTGGTGGATACGTAAGGTCGTAAGGAGGGATAATTGTACCATGGATCGTGGTTAGTTTAAGGTTACTCGATTATTAATACATATATATGTATTAATAATCCTTTCCTTCTCAAAAGGAAGACTACAATTACGTTATGAAGATTAAACATGTTATTCAAGAAATAACTTTACTTTCGTATTATACATATATAGACCATCGGTTGGGTTTCCGATTAGAATGAAAGTCATGGTGAGAAAGGTAAGAAGAGATCTTCAACATTGGATCAAATTTCCATTTGAAGATCGACCCTAATGAGATGCACCAAATCAATTCTCGTATCAAACGTAATTTAATAGAACAAATTGAATTGATGTTTTAAATGTACTTTAACAACCTCTTTGTTGTTACTATTTCAACCTTTATGTACATTTGGATGTTGGTTTAAACCAGAACGTTAAAATATTGAAAACAGTTTATTCAATTTCATTAATGAATCGTTGCAAGATCAACATGATATCGGTCACAATATGAGCAAGTTAAGGAAAAAAAATTGATCTTGTTTGTGTCAATTGAGACAACAAATTATTCGTTATATTAAATATGAACTAAATCAAACTTTATTATATTTTATTCATTTTCTCATATTTATATGGAATTATATGAATATGCATATATTAATCCCAAATCAGTTTAATTATATAAATCAGAGTGAATTACATTAATCGTTCCTAAAGTATACTAAGGGACCGTTTATTAAACACTCATCGGGTAATTTTCCTCACTTGATGAACATGGTAAAGGGCCAAAAATCTTACCCAGTAAGAGCAAGATAAGAATAGAGAGTCTTACCCGATAAGTGATGGTGATGACTCTTACCCGAGTAAGCGTTTACCGGATGAATTGTTATATACGATACCGTTTTAATATACTACAATCTTACTTGATAAAATAGATTATAGAGTTAACTTCTAATGATAAGCGTTTACCGAGTAAGCATTTGGATAACAATCGACTCTTAAATCTGTTTGCCCAAAAATAATTATAATTACTGAAAACAATATTGAAATATTTTTATGAAAGATACTTGATACAGAGCCTACTTAAACTTCAAACAAATATGATACCATTATCCTTAATGGTATCAAGAACAATTGCCAACCTCCCTTCAATTCTCTCATTCTTTTTCGCTTCGAAAGCCATTGCAAACACGTCCGCTTCCTTTGATCGCTCTGCTATCAACCTCCCAATCACCCTGCAAGCCTCGTTATCTATGAGCGAAGGCAACGTGTTCCTTAGATCCTTCGAGTTTGTGGTTGCCACCGATATCACTTTGCTCGTGCCTCTATGCATCACTTTCGCATGAACGAATCTTTTTGAAAAGAAAACGTTTAGTTGAAATGGTCTCATGTACATATCCGTCCTCTGTTTCCAAGATTTCTTGTTTGGTCTTTTTTCTGCTTCGCTTCGTGATCTTCGTGTCCAAGCTGCTTGAACTACAAATCTCTACGAAAACTGGAATTTAAAATTAAAAATGGGAAAAGAAGGGAGAGGGGAAAATGAGATAAAAGAACTTGATATAAAGCATGAGTGAACCCTAATCCCTTTACAACTTTGTGGATCCAATTGTATGGTTTCTTTACCAACTTTGTAAAGACCACAATTAAACAATTAGAATGAAGTTTTTCTATCTTTATCTATTTGTTGTCTAGTTTTGGTACCCATGGGTGTCCATATCAGTTTATATGCACCTCGGCTAATCCCACGGGGCCTTGAACGTAACAGTCAGACAAACGCCTTAAGGGGATTTGACCTGCTAATCTTTTGGGAGCAAACCCTAGGTCTTACCGGTGGAGCTACCCTTTAGGGTTATTTGGTGTCTAGTTTTCTTTATAACAATAAGGGTAGACATAAATCCTAGCTTGAGTCCTCACAACCTATAAATAAAGGAGAGAATCGGGTAATGACTACTTTTGCTCCCTTTTACATATGCTTGGCTTAATTCTCTATCTACTAGGCATTAAGGTGAGAAGTGTAAGGGATTTGGACCCTCGATCACTTGAATTAGTGGTGATCTAATGGTTCAAATTAAGTCCAAAATAACACCTGAATTAGCTTAGAAGGGCATTTTCAATTGATGTTCAATTAGAATTGATCCAAGTATGGAGATCCCTTCTTACCCTTCTCACTATAACTACTATTCTTACCGGAAAACCAACTCCTAATTATAATTGGTTGGTACACGATATTGGAGAAAAAACTTGGTATTGTACCAAGTCCACCCTTTAAAAGAAAACAGAAATGTAACAGGCAAAGACCCTATCATGCCAAATGAGAAGCAGAAGTATATGGGTACAGATAGTTTCTGAGATGGATCGAAATATCTACAAGATTGTTGACATAGATAGGAGCAACACTACATCAAGGGAACTGCTAAGCAAGCTTAAGAATGCTAACAAAAGCACATCAGTTTGCAGCATTGTTCTTTGCAACGAGAGTGGGAGCTTATGGCCCCCAAAAGCCGTTATTCACTGGGCTTAGAGTTAAAAATCAGAATAAAGAGACTGGTTCATCGACAAATACAGAGTATGAATAGAATACACCTTTTTAAAAATTTCAAGAATGGTAAGTAACAAGATTAGACAAAACAAAAACCAGATAATACGTAAGCAATTAGGTTAGAGAAATAAAAGAGTTAACCTTGGGAGCAGATTTGACAACTAAACCAGGGAGGGTCAAACTTGTAAAAGGTAAAGACACCACAACTGATGAAGCTTTGGATGTCGAAGACCTGAGACCCTCAAACGACGGAAGAACACTGTTTGAGCTCAACTGTGCAGCTGCCATTTCCTAAACCTGAACCAACCAATCCACAAAAGAAAAACAAGCATTCAGTCGCTTATTTTTCAAGCAAACGGTAGATTAGACTCGCTTGACATATGGAATCGAAATCTCTTTAGTTCTTAAACGCAAAACCGATATGAATTTGGCAAGAACGATTTAGAATCTGGATAACAATTCAATTTCCACCAAATCAATACAACAATACATTATGTTGACGAGAGTATGCATACCTTTGAGGGAAGCGAGATGATGTGAGTATTGAAAACGAAGAGGATAACAAAACCCTAAAAACTGAATGGGATTTGGGGGTTTTGTAGTTACAAGAAGCGACGTTTCCTGGTTTCCTTTATCTTGTTTTTGTTTCTTTTTTATTTGAGTAAATTACAATTTTGGTCCCTGAAGTTGCAAATCACTATCAACCCGTTTTTACTTTGAATCCAGAGGATGTGTACTTGTGACTTAATGAGCATGATATGTTAAACAACTTATTTGCATGGAATATAGTGTTTACTTTTAGCTTATTAGCACAACTATTGGCTTATTCGGTAAGATGGGGAGGGTATGTTGTCCATATTCAATCAAAATATAGTGTTTACTTGTGGGTACTGGGTAATATAGCAGAAATGTCAACATATTCGATAAGATGAGGAGGATATAGTGTCCACATTCAACAAAAAAGAGACGCTCCTACCCCTGGTTTAATAAACACACCAAATCTGGAAAAAAAAAATTAAATCTTAGCCACTCGCTCGACGCTTCTGCCCGATTTTAATTTCTCCTCTAAATCTATTTCTTCACACTCGATTTCTCCAAAGGTAACAATTTTCTTCACGATTTCTCCTCCAAAACGATTTGTGATTGTTCCATTTATTCTCAAGTTAGAAATTGATGTAGACACTCATGTTATAATTGATGTCTATTATTTGTTCTTCATCGATTTCTTTCTTTGTTTATTTGACGATTTCTTCTTTGTTTACATAGACATCTTTTGCAATATTGTCTGTTGTTTGTTCGTCACTGTTTGTTTACATTGATATCGTCTACAGATTGTTTCTTATTTAATAGCATGAATTCCATTATCTACTTTTTTGGTATGTAGTTTTATGCAATATTTCTGTAATATCATTGCTTATGCATTATTTTTGTATTACACTGTTGCTTATTGGTATGTACTTTTATGAATACGTTGTCCTTAAAATAGTTTCATCCATGAAGTTATTAGAAGATGAAATCTTGGCATATTCAATACTTCTACTTGTTGGTTTATTTGTTTGTGTACATCTAATTTGCTTGTTATAGAATGTTATCATGTCTTTGTTTTTGGTACGGAACAAATGTGGGAATTATAACAACAAAAATGAAATAGGTTTAGTTGGAAGTATCACAATTTTGTGAAAACTTTCTTAGAAAGTTGTATTCTAGAGGTTGGATCAAACAGAAAAGAGGGTGGTAGTTTGAAGGCACTTTCACGCAAGAAAGTTGCTGAAACTTTAAAAAAAACCCTCATAATTTTGTTGTCGATGGGAAGCAAATGCRCAACCATTTTGATCATTTGAAAGGAAATTATGATGCTTGGTTGAAATCTTAAAACAAAACCGGCAATGTCGATGATACTTCTACAAACACTTTTAACTTGACGCCTGAGGAATGTGTGTTAGAGATGCAGGTCGTTTTCTAACTTTTAGATTTTTTTATTTTATTTTGATTCTTGTTTATTTTATTTGTATATTTATAAATGTTTATTAACACAGACCAATATGTATGTTGAATCTTTGGAGACTAGTATTTGAGGGTGGTATGTTCACGAGTATTGAAGGTCATGGAGCATCGTTAAAAGCCTTTTAGACGAACCACCAAGCTTTTTGTGGTCATTGATGAAGAAACCAATATCTCAAGTGATTCAACTCATGTGTCTTCAACACCTTGTTCATTCCGTACTGCGGTTAAGAAACAAAAGGCTAAAAAGAGTACACAATTGATTTCGAAGCTTGACGACAAGCTTATAAAGTTTTTAGATAGTATGTCGTCAAGATATGGGAACCCCGAGTTTGTTACTTATGACACATGCCTAAAGAAGTTGAACAAGTTTGGGTGGGAAAATTATGATTCTTTGTACCGCATTGCCTTTTCTCTTTTTACGAACAATCATAGTAGAGAAGCTTGGATGACAACGAAGAAAGGTTTAATTATGCACATGCGCAACTCGGGAATGTTATTGAACGTGCTTATGTTATCTTGACAGCGAGATTTCCAATTCTAAACCAGATGACTCCTTTTCCATTTACAACACAAAGAAATGTGGTAATTTGCTTGCTTTGCGATACATAATTTTATTAGAAAATATAATATTCAAGACCAGTTGTTTATGGGGTGCAATGAGGACACCGTATTTACCATCAAAGAAGAAGTCGAAGGAGGTAGAGAAGAAGGATTGGGTATATCCCAATGGATTTATGATTTTTGTTTTGATTTTATGAATTTGTGATTTTTATGTTCTGATTTTTGGATGATATTAATGAATTTATGTTTTGATGTTTAAATAATTTTTATGTTTCAGAAATATCATTTGATTTAAAAAATAAACAGCAATTTATCAAACAACCAATTCATACTGAAGGGTAAATCTCGATCATTTTTGTCATTCAGACTGTTGATTCAGGAAAAAAAAAAGTAAACAACAACAACAATTAATCCGGACAAACAAATTTATCCATACATGACTTAATATTTTTTTTTTTGGTAAACAACCCCTTAATAAAAAATTTGGTAAACAACCCTTAATTATAGTTTTGGTCACGATGGTAGCCATTTTGTTTCAATTTTGGTCCCTAAAACTAACTCCCATTATAAAGGTCCACTAACTCAAAGGCTTTCTGGTCTTTTTTTTTTAATACTGGTTTTATTCATTAAAAAAAATAAGTTTCTTTTTACTCCTTTTAGGAAATAAATGATGTCGTTCTAATTGGTTAATTTTCTGTTCTCAAATCTTCAAGAGTGATCATTCTTTTAGAATAAATTTTCGAAAATTATTGACCTCAAATCTGATTTGATCAAACCGTTAATATTTATGTCGGTTCTGAATTATACATTTTTTTTAATTCATTCGAAACCAAAAGAACCATCACCATAGGTTGGGTCATTAGTGATGACTTTTGCCACAAGAACTGATGTAGGCAAGGGATTGGTGTTGGGTTTGCTGTAGTGGCTAAATACACCACTGGTGACCCGAACCGTGGTGCCCTAAAAAGCCCCATTGACTACACTCTTATATGAACCGGTGAAGGTTTTGAATATCAGCCGCCAACATGAGGATGGCTACATTTGGCTCCTGATCTCAACTATCAGTTATAAATACATCATCACAACTACGTACACATGAAAAACGGTGCTTGATATGGTCAAGTGCATTCGATGAGGTCAACTACACATATCTGATTGAGGTGAATATGTGTATTTGGGGAGTAAAGATGTCTAATAGGAGTACTTCAAGAGGCGTGGATGCGTGTACAACAAAGCTAATAATCAACAAATTAAAAGGGCTAAATATATATTCCGGTTGATATGTTTTTAGAAGAAAAAAAAACATGTGTATTTAAAGATGCTCAAGAAAGATCCGTATTCGGCTATGCCCGAGTTGTTGCAGGTTAGAAAGATGATAAAAAAGTATTCTCCTTGGGTCTATTTTCATCCTAACAAACAATACTTCACTTGAACGGTTTTATGGTTCTTTGAAAATGGCGTATCACTACACGACAACCGTAAAAATCCACAACCTGTGATCAACGTTGGCAACAACTTTCTGAAAACTGTTACACAAAAGATGACGCCTCTGTAGACCTCCCACCTGATCAAATGAAAAAAGATAAGGTACAAAAAGGGTTTGGTTTTTCTGGTTTTGATTTATAATCACCATCCAGTTATATATTATAATTCATATATACCATCATCATATACTTATATCCAATTCAATAATCCATCGATGGATATGATATTAGTTGGTTAACGTTGCCATTAAGTTCAATCGTTTTCTGTAGTTTAATATTTATTTGCTGATAAGACCAATATTGAAAAGAAAGACGAATCCAAGCTTTTAATTTATTCTTACAAACTCGATCAAAAGCCACCAAATCTTTTCATGCTTTTGAGTTCCTAGAGGTTATCTAGACCGTTAACTCTAGGATCGATGAGATTAGTCGAGGTGTGAATAAACTTATAAAACGTGAATAAACATTGCATTAATTGATGATATTAAATAGTTGTTACATATAATGTGAATTGTCAACACTATATATTTTAATTAATAATTAAATTAAATAGTTTATTATAATCATTGTTTTAAAATTTTATTATTTAAGAAA